GGTTTTAGCATCAGAAAGACCTGAGCTTGCATCTGGCTCCCCTACTTACTGGCTGTGACTCTGAGAAAGCAACGTAACCTCTCTGAGCCTCAGTTTCCTAATCTGAAAAAGGGGGGTAACAACAACTCCTTCACATAACTATTGGGAGGATTGAATAATAAAAGATCTACTCATTACCTTGTGCCCAGTAAGTGCCAAATAAATCTTAATTTCTATCTTGCCTACCCCACCAATAGTGTATAATCATCTTAGGTGGGATTTCATTTGTCTAGCAAAGACTCCCCCAGCTAGGGACAGGGTACGATCCCCCAAGGAGTGTGTCATGAGTGCCTAGAGCTGAGGACAGAGTTCTGGGGCAGAGAGGAGAACAGACAGAGGAGAGTTTAAAGGAGCAAAGAAGCAACAGCCAGGGAGGCAGGAGGAACACCAGAAGGATGGCGTCACAGAGGTTAGAAGTTTCCGGAAGGAAGAAGTGGGTCAACAGAGCCAGAGGCTCCCAGGAGATCTAGTGAGAAGAGGACTAGGAAGTAGGAGCTACATTTAGCAACCAAGAGGTCCCTGTTGACTTTGGCAATGGAGTGGGGGCAGCTCCGCGGGTGTTCAAGGGCGAGTGGGAGAGGAAGTGCCAGCAAATGAGAGCCTCTCCCTGGCTGCTCCTTCACCCAGACTGGGGCTCGGTCAAGGGGCCTTTCGGGAAGTCTGAGTAGAAAGGGGAAGGGGGCCAGAGGGCGGTCTAGGTGAGGCCTTTTCCACGGGAGAAAGGAGCGCTAGTGTTTAGGTGTTGAGTGGAAGGAGTCATGGTCAGGGGGATGGAGAGAAGGCTCTGGAAGAAACGGGGGAAGGACGGGGTGGGCAGATTAACTCAGGCAAGCAGGGGGTAAGATGGCAAGGACCAAGGGAGATGCACAAGTTCCCCAGCCCAGTCTGCCATGACTCCAAAGAGCAGAAGCGAAGACTGATGGGGGTGGGGGGGGCCGGAAGCAGGAGCCATCGTGGAACCTCACCTCTCTGGGGATGAAGGACGACCCCAGTGTCACCAGGGACCAGAAGGCAATGCCCCCGCACATGAGATACTTCCGATTGTACCTGTCACCCAGGTAGCCAAACACAGGTGCCAACACCATGTAACTGGAGATGAACACTGAGGGGAAGCAGAGAGTCACAGTCCAGCCCCAGTGCCCCTACCCCACCCCGGCTCAGGGAGGGCGAGGAGGGGCAGGAATAACTCCCAACCCTGAAACTGTCAGCGCTTCCTGCCAGGGCCAGTCCAACCCCATTTTCAGTGTCTTTCAAACCCGCCACTGTAGAATGGATGGACCAGCTGACTCGTCACTTTCCCCATCCAGCCAAGAACAAAATCCAAACTCCATACCACGGCCCACAGTGCACCGTCTGATCTAACCGCCCCTACCTCTCCAGCCTCATGCTCATCCTTTCCTTTCTCTGCACCCCAATGGCCCAATGGCCAACCTCAATACCATCTTAGGTTTTTGGCAACTGCTGTCATTTCTCTGTAGAACATTCCCTCCTCTCCCCTGAGCTTCACGGAGCTTAGCAAGTTTAGGTTCCAGCTCAGACACTTTTCCAACCACCACACGTGCAGTCTTTACCACATCTACTGTGTTCTTTTCCGTAACACTTACTCCTATAGAAAATTATCTCAGTATCAGTTTAGGTTTTTATGGACTGTTGCCCCCTCAGGCACAGTAGAATGTCAGCTCCATGAACACAGTCACTGCCTGTATCGGCCCTGGCCGTGTTTCCATTATTGAACCCATGGCCTCGCATAAGACAGGCGTTCAATAAACAGGTGTTGGACGAAAAAGTGAATGGGGCTGCCTTCTTCTCCAACTCAGCAACTCTTCGGAGGTTCGCAGGCCATGACCTATGATCCCATTCTCATTTCTCTAGGCCTTGCCTTCAATACTTCCAGCTCCTTATTGGCCTGGCCTGGAGCAAAGACCATTGCAAGACTTGGATTCAAACTCTCCTTCTGCCTCTCACTTGCTCTGGGGCCCTGGGCAGGTCTTAACTCTTCTCCAAGCCTCAGATTCTCTACAGAAATGTAGATAATGCTAACCACTTCCTCTGTCAAATAAGAATAACACCTATTCCTTGGCTGATGGAAGGATGTAAAGACAATGGGCATAAAAGATCTTGGACAAGTTCTGTGGGTGTCACCACCACTTCCTCCGTAGGAGGTGCTCAGGAAATCAATGAAGGCGAGAAGGAAGGAAAAGAGGGGTGGGCCCTGTCTTTCCCTCCCTCACAAATCCCAAAGTTCTGAGCAAATAAAACTCGCCTCTCCCCATTTCAGACACCCTTTTCTGCCATGGCTTACTGGGTGCCTGCCATGTTCTCAGCTGTGGCCTCCACTTCCCAGGCATCATCTCATTTAAGCCTCCCTATGAGGTGGTCGGGTTATTCCTAGTTCCATCTCACCCACCAGGAAAGGGCGAGGCCAAGGGCCCTGCCTACCATCACACTGTGAGCAAACCCAGGTGTGTCTGACCCATCACACTGAGCTGACTCGCTCTTTCAATGAGGCGCTTACTAACCAATACAGCTTCAGGGCAGCATCGGGCCATCTCTTCCCCTAGCGGGGGCCCCTACGCCTCCATCCATGAGGCCCCACCGGGGTAGGAAACGGGAAAGTAGCTGCGGGGCGCCGGGAGGGGCCTTCCTCACCGGTCTGGATGAGGCCGGAGCTGCTGTCTCCGATGGCGAAGAACTGCTCGATGTCCGGAAGGACGCCTGGGAAGGAGACTCGGGATGGGTCCGCGAGGCAGCGCCCCCTTCGGGACCCGCTCCCGCCCC